AGACACCGGTTCTTCTCATATGTGTGTGTGTATGGATGAATCTTGGGTGTACACTTTATTTTGATAGTCCACTTTAGACATTCTGTTAAAGGGGTCATAGGATGCCCATTTTCCACAAGTTGATATGATTCTTTAGGGTCTTAATAAAAAGTCTGTAACATAGTTTGGTTAAAATTTCTCAATGGTAGTGTAAAAAACACCTTTTTTACCCTGTCAAAAACAGCTCTTTCAGATCAAGCCGTTTTTGTCATTTCCCTTTAAATGTTAATGAGCTCTGCTGACCCCGCCCCTCTCTTCCGAGCTGTTCTCAGAGAGACTGTTTACTTTAGCCGCATTCATCGTGAAACTTGCTAATTAGTACATTATTAGGAAAGGCGATTTGCAAAGATTCCTTACAAAACATGTCAACTAATTCTCATTAATTTGCAGCTGCATGTCTACTAACTCAGAGTAGACTGGTTAGGTTTAGGGTTTGTAGAATAAGTTGAAATAGTCAGTATGTTGTGGACCCATCAAAATAAAGTGACAGAATATATTGAGCAGACAGTTTACTCATACTCTAATGACTGCTAGTTGACATGTAGTTGCAGTTACTTACTGTTAGTAGAATTTCTAAAGTGGACTATCAAAATGAAGTGTTATCGACTCTTGTTTTAACTATTTTCAGTGAACCCAATTTGGAGGTGTTTGTTGTTGTATGTTTATTTGGTAAAGGAATGATATGGACTAAAGACAACTTGAAGCAATATTTCACCCAAACATTTTGTTATCATTTGCTCGCCCTTGTGTTATTCCTGTTGACTGATATATTTTTTTCTGTGCAGCACAAAAAGGTTTTTTTTTTGGAAGCAAAAGCATACAAAATCTGACAAAATGACTGGTTACACTTTATTTCGATAGTCCACTTTAGACATTCTACTAACTATAAGTAACTTTGTAACTACATGTCAACTAATTATCATTAATTTGCAACTACATGTCTACTAACTCTCAGAGTAGACTGTTAGGGTAGGTTTAGGGTTAGTAGAATAAGTTGACAAAGAAAGAGTTAGAAGATATTAAGCAGGCAGTCTACTAATACTCTACTAACTACTAGTTGACATGTAGTTGCAAAGTTACTTACTGTTAATAGAATGTCTAAAGTGGACTATCGAAATAAAGTGTTACCAAATTACTTTTTATATTACATTTTGACACAACATACTGATAGTGACCATTTCTAAACACAACTTTAGGTCAGTGCTTAATCTTGCACTTGCTAACTTACTATTCAGTTCACAGTACCAGAAAGTATTATTTTTACCGCTTATTAATACAGCTCTCGTTGGCTCTGTATTTCCCTAATTCTACCCAATACATAAACTTAACAACTACCTTACTAACTATTAATAAGCAGCAAACTAAGAGTTTAAAGTCTTAGTTAATGGTTTGTTAATGGCGAGAATTGGACTTTAAAATAAAGTGTGACCAAATATTCAATTTGTTTGTTGACTTATCTAACATGTTTTTGACTTCATGACTTATCAAGAACATGTTCAACTGTTCTTCTTCTTCCACCTGACATGCATCACTATCCTTAAAAAATTATGTTTAAGATTCAAGTGTCATATTCTCATGTGTTAAAATAATTTGATCTACTCTAGTTTTGTTCTTCTTTTCTTAATGCTCCTTTGTATGTAATGATACTATAGCTTAGTCTGACGTGTCCCAACAGTACTTCCGTTTTCCATTGCATGCTTCTAATATTAAATGCTTTGCTTCTGTTCTGCTGAGTTTAATATTGCTTTTTGGATCTTCCAGCCTTAATGATTTTTGGTCATTTTGTCTGCATCTTCATTTCCCTGAATTCCAGCATGTGCTTTCACCCACATAAAATGAGTTAATATTCCAAGCTGCCTTAAACTCTAACATAACCATAATTTCTGTTAAGACTTCACTTAGATTTGAAATTATTTTAAACTCCACCACTGAATCAGAAAAAAATTATAACTTAATTTGGCCTCACTTTATGAACCCAACCTAGCGGCATTTGAAACTCTATCATCTCTGCTGTATATGATGTTCTTTCTGTAATTCTCCCAGATTTTCCTTTTAGAAATTCTGGAACAATCACCAAAAAACACAATGTCAGGATTCTCTCTGACATTTAGTGAAATACAGCGGGTCACGTCATTTCCACACGGTGAAACACATTGAGGGGAGTCACCCTTTATCTGAAGATAAAACCCATTCTCTGTTCTTTTGCCAGAAAATATTTGATTAGTCAGTAAATGTAGTGACTGGGATGGTTGGACGTCATTTTCTATCAATGAGCATTCTTTAAAGGGAATGAAGGTAACTCCGGTTACAGCAGGTTAATTTGAATAGCCTTTACAGTCCAAAATGTGCCCTAATGACTGAATCTAATTTAGTATTGTGACAGACAATGATTGTTTCTTATGGTAAAAAAGGATATATAATTGGAAATGTCAATAATAATATTGAAAATGAACTACAAATGAGCCCAACTGAAGGAAACTGTTTGCTTTAACTCTTGTCCATTTGATTTGTTTCCCAGACTTTGCTCTCATCAGGTGTTTTTGAAGAGGTGGGTGTGAGAGCGACTCTGATCTGTTTGATGGATATTTTGAACGTTATGTTTAAAATCAGGTGAGAAACGCCTTGCACAGCCTCTTAGACCTGATTTCTGTGTTGCTGAAAATCATTCTGAGGGGGTGTGTGTGTGTGTGTGTGTGTGTGTGTGTGTGTGTTTGAAGTTCTCAAACAGGAATCTTTCAGCTGTTTTTTTTTTCCCAGTCTCTTTCTCCTTCTTTCTCTCGTGCACACTCACACACACACACACGCGCGCGCGCACACACACACACACACACACATGGCGTAATGATTTTTCTACTGTACAGACCGTATATTCTATTGCCCTACACCAACCCTACCCCTAAACCTACCCCTCACAGGAAACGTTGTGCTATTTCAGATTTTCAATACACTCCATTCTGTGTGATTTATAAGCGTTTTGAAAAGTGGGGACATGGGGTAATGTCCTGAAAAGTCACCTTCTCCTTGTAATACCTATGTCATACCCTTGTCATTATACAAATTTATTTACACACACACACGTATACGTATTGTTACTCTACACTAATGTTATGTTATTGTTATTATACTGAAAAAGTTTTCTGAACGTTATATATAAAACAGATTATTAGAGAATGTACAAGAAAAAAGTATTCTGTACTATGTCTTTCTACTTCAAAATGACGTTTAATTTAATTAGACATTTCTTTGCAAATAGTTGAGCTCAAATACATATATAAATTTAGATGGAAATGCCAAAGTTATATTTACTTGATGTTTTGTGTTTAATCAATTAAAATAAGCTTTATCTGATAAATGTATAAACAAACTCAACAAGAACTGTGTTTAGTCTGTACTTGAAAACATTATTTACTTACAATTTCTGAGTAAAAATTGTTTCCTTTTTTCAAGTAAATCCCACTCCATTTGTTTTATTGTACTCGTTTAAGTTTGTTTCAAGGAAATTTTATTTTGGTTGTATAAAATTAATTTTCTCAGTTGCAGTTTGATTCTCATAATTTTCAGTAATTCAAATCCGTAAATTGCTTTGCACTGGCATTTCGGTCTCAGTCTCATGGCAGTCAATGCACATCCTGTTATCTGTTGACTGTGCATAAGAATCAACAATCAACTTTCAAGTGTGTGATACATAGCTGCCAATGTTCCTGTATAAATACATTAATGCAGCATTAATAAGTATGAGTAAAAGCACCTTTGTGTGATAATACGCCACTTCTTGCACATTGAATCATTGCATTATAAAATGGTCCACCCATTCTTCTGCTAAGGCCAATTTCATAGCCAGGATTTCACAAGTTTGCATGTTCATATAATCTTGAGATAACGATAAATGTTTAAACTGGTTTGTCCACAATAGTGAGTCTCAAGTGCGAGACTTAACTCACACTCACCCACGTGCACATATTTTGTCACAGCATGAAGACGGGCTTTGCAAATGGCCTTTTATGATTTTTTTTTTTCTTTTTTTTTGTATGGTTTGATTTTTTTCTTGGGCAATTTAATTGTCATTGTCACCTTTGGCTTTGCACAGCTTTAGAACACATATGCATGAACAATTCAGTCAAATAATTAATGTTTTCTTGGTTTTTATTGTAAAATAAAGAAGACTTTGCTCATCCAAGATTCTCTTGTTAGATGCAAGGGTGTGTCTTCTGTACCTCTGGTTCGTCTGGAATGCCCTTTGAGGCAAATGGTGTTCCACAAGGCTCGATGACGGAACCGCTTCAGAACGAGGAGGGACGTGTTTGCATTTCAGGTGCTTAAGTGTATTTGGAAGTGTGCAGTCTCTCTTCATCTCAAGGGCAAACCTTCTAGAAATACCCCATCAAATACACCTGGGTGGAACTGCCAGACGTTTCTTTGGCTCTTAATTGCCAAACTTCTACTGAGGTGCGACTTCTAGGCCAGTACGTCTGAAATGAAACTAGCAGCGGTGTGTGTGCAGGCAGCGAGTGTGTAGTATGTTACACCCGTCACAGACCCCCGCCTCCCCTCACTCCAGCGTGGGGTGGTAATTGATTCTCCTCATGCCATTAGTCTTTGAGACAGAGATGCACCAACAAGGGAGGGTGCTGTCACTTAGAGCCGAGAACGGTGACCAGTTTGCACACACACGTTCTCACGCAATACAAAACTAACGCACACACATACACACCTATTACTTTTGTCCACCAAGGTCTAGGAAATCAAGGGCAAAGTATAGATACACATGCAAAAATGAATGCACACACAAATGCAATTTCATAAAAGAGAAAACTGTATTATTCATATTTTTAATGCAAGAAGACATTGAAGCATATCATGTCTGCCGAGTTGACATTACCAGTAGCCACTGTGACCCAATTTTCCAACATGTACTGTATATACACACACACACACACACACACACACACACACATGTGCAATATATATCTGCCTGACATCCATGTTAACTGTGGGTATGCAAGTATCTCAGACAGCACACCTGTGTCACGGTTTGGCAAGGGAGGACCCAGATGCAGAATGAATAGGGATACGTTTATTAACAAAATTGGGAACAAAAGGACGAGGCAGGAAGATAGTCACACACAAAAGGGCAGGGCACACGACAGGAGAACAGGCTGATCGGTGATGGGGTAGCTCCAGACTCTGTGGCTATGGAGACTAGGTAGCAGCTCAAGGAACCACAGGCTTGGCACTGGGGAAAGTAAATCTTGAGGCACCAGAATAGGGTTATCACGATATTAGATTTTTCACACCACAGTTATTGTGGCCAATTGTGCTGAAACAGTTCTACTCAGCCGTCATCGAGTCTGTTCTGTGCACTTCAATAACTGTCTGGTTTGGTTCAGCTACAAAATCAGACATCAGAAAACTACAGAGAACGGTTCGGACTGCTGAAAGGATTATTGGTACATACTTGGCAATAAAGCTCTTTCTGATTCTGATTCTGAAAATAATTCACGATATCGATATAATCGCGATATCTATAGAAAACTCTGGGAATAAGCCAAATTAATTTTTACTTTGTTGATTTAGTTTTTCTTTTTACCCAATTAACATAAGGATACTGATAAGGGTGCATGCATTTTCACTTATTCAGGTCACAGCTTCCCTGAGACTCTGACTTTCTGTCTTCTTCGAAACTCCCTATGAAATAACAAGAGAGAAAATACTGTCAAGTATAAACAGTATGAGGAATAAATATTAACATCAAAACTAATACTTTAACCTGTTAACTTGCGTACCCGTATTTTAATCTCTTTAACCTATATTTAAGCAGGCGCAAATGAAGTCATGCAGTTAATGCTCTTCATTCATTATAAATTCAGTATTAATGTGCGTCTAGAGCGGCAGCAGATGAAGCAGTAAGTGCATGGCACTGCGACCAACTTAACATTTGACAGAGTTTAATGTAGCAATGTGGTCGCTCAGTTTTTCTAGATTTGTTTTAATCATGTAATAGATCTGAACAAAGAAATGAAGTGCTATGCACATGTATTGGCCATGACTTGATTGCAAATACAAATACAAAAATTAGACGAGTAAAGAATGTGGTACTTATTTAAATAAAGGGGTGATTCTTTTAATATGAACACCGGAAACCGCTGTTAACAGGTTAATGTAACGTTTCCCATTCCATGACTAGTAAAATAATGGCAACGTACTGTCTGTATAGTATTGAACATGGTTTTCTCTGAGTAGCGCGGCCACGCGCTGCGTCGTCTTGTTTGACAGGTGTCAGCGTTAAGGTGCAATACTGCCACCTGGGAGGTCAGCCAGCTACTGGCGCTGGAGTAGGCTATTTGCATGTTGTGTTATCATAAGTGTCCTGTTCATTTTAAATATTGTGGTTATCGCCAATAACGGTATATAAATCACACCCTAAATTAACATTATGTTGATATTTCATGATTTGAATATCACGGTAATCATCAACACCGGTATATCGCGACACCCCTACACCAGAATGTCCATCAGGTCAGAAGAATCAGCGACCAGGGAGGACTCAGGAAGCAGGGCAGGAACCAACACGATAGACACACAGAAAGACAAGACAACCGGAGAGACAGATCAAAAGTAAAAACTTTTGAAACAATGACTAGGAAGAATAACCAAGAAATTAAACTGAAGTAATAAAATAAATACTAGAAATAACTAGAACTTATGAAAACAAAAGGATAACAATAGGAAAAAGCTAGGAATAAATGACTAGAAATACCAATAAAATAAGTAAAGACAAGACCGCAACCTTGCTGAAAACTAGAAAGAAAAAGGACAAAATCAAAAGGTTCAAGAACTAAAAAAAACTAAACCACAAAGACTGAAACTAGACTATAGACTAAACACGGTAACAAATAAAGACTACAATTTAACAAGAGGGAACAAACAAAACTAGACTTTATGCAATATACTGAATAGCAAGCTCTAACACAGCCAAGAGAATGCACACAAGCCACACACAAAACAAACCAGTAAAGACAAGAGGGAAGTGAGCACAATATAAAGGGAGCAGAGCACACGAGGATCAGGTGAACACAATTGGACAAACAAGGACTAAACAAGGGGGCGTGGTGATTGAAATCGAGGAGGCAGGACAAGAGGAGCACATGGCCAACACAAACAAAGATACAGCCATGTGCTCAGGCACAAAATAAACAAAGACACTTTAAACATAGACAGGACAGACAAGATTGTCAGGGCAGGATCCTGACAACCTGAGGTTCACTGACAGTCTGATGCATATTGCAGAAACATTGGAAAGCACTTGTGAAAATCACAAGCTCCAATCAGATCGACAGACTGCAATGCAACTTCCTGGAGTTGCACAGGTTTTCTTAGTTTGATGGGGAAAATGATAACTCTTTACAATATGGTTCCAGTTAACTACATTAGATGACATGAACTAACATTAACAAAAAATACTGTAACAAATGTATTGCCCATTGTTATTTAATGTTAGTTAGTGCATTGACTACATTTAATGGAAACATTAAACATTGTAACATTACTGTAAAATGTTTGAATCAATGATGAATTCAGACATGAATTGAGAACTAACCTAAACTACGACATGAGTCATATAAATTAATTTGTGAAAATTACCCCAAAATGTTAATTAATACATTAACTAACAAACAACACAGTCAGTACTAACATAGTCAATGTAGTGCTTATTCACACTTGAATTCATATGATTCATGTCGTAGTTAAGGTTAGTTTTTGATTAGTACATGCCTTAATTAATCATTAGGTCATTTTAAAGTAATCTTTAATGTAGGTATTGTTCATGTACTGTTATAAAGTGTTAACAAATTGGGAATGACTCTGTGGTAGAACTTTAGTAACAATAAATTTTTGCAAATTTTTCAGTTTGTGGTTTCGGATCTTCAACATTAACCTAATTAACCTGAACTGAAGAATTGGCATTAGCACTTTATTTTAGTCCTGTGCTTCATGTACATTCTGTACTTGTTATAGTAATTGCAATAACTGGGTAATAACTAGGTACTAACCCTGAACCTACCCCTAAACTTAACCCTAACCCATGTAGGTACTATATGTTATCCAGCACTTTCTTAGGTAAGTACAGTGTAAATATAGACAAGTGCATGTACTGTAAAATAAAGTGCAACCAAATTAGCTCAAACGGAGAGAAAACGGATGGATGGATGGACAGATGGATAGACAGACAGCGGATGGATGGATGGATGGATGGACAGGTGGATAGACAGACAGCGGATTGATGGATGGATGGACAGACAGGAGATAAATGGATGGATAGATAGACAGACAGCAGATTGATGGATGGAAGGATGGATGGATGGATGGATAGACAGCAGATGGATGGATGGATGGATGGGTGGGTGGGTGTATGGATGGGTGGCTGGATGGATGGATGGATGGAAGCATGGAAGGGTGGATGGAAGGATGGATGGACAGTGGATGAATGAATGGATGAATGGATGCATGGATGGATGGATGGATGTATAGATGGATGGATAGATGGACAGACAGCAGAAGGATGGATGATTGGATGAATAGATGGATGGATAGATGGACCGACAGTGGATGAACGAATGAATAAATGGATGGCTAGATAGACAGCACGATCACAATATTTTATTGTCACCACTAATACGTTTTCAACAAATCTTTTTGGTAACACTTTATTTTAATGTGTCCTTGTTACACGTGTTACATGTACTTACTATTATAATAACAATTATTTATGCATAACTACATGCAAGTAAGCCTAAACCAAACCCTAATCCTAACCCTAACCATATATTAAGTACATGTAGTTAATTAATATTGCTCAAAACTTAAATGTATAATTACACTGTAACAAGGACAACTTAAAATAAAGTGTAACCATATTTTTTATATTGATTAATAATCTACATGATAGAAAGTTTAACTTAGAATAGTTTCCAAGACTGCAATTATAAATTTGAAACACAACGAGGTTTTAAAAGTGAACTAGTGAGTAGATGAGTTTGCCAGTTCATCATGGTGACGTTTAATGAGCCTGACAACCTCTGTAGTCCCATTTAGCCACTTCTAATCAACCACCTTTTTCAAGACACATAATAGATTAAAAAAAAAAAAAAAAAAAACCCTGTTAAAATTAACAAAACATTTTGTCCACAGACAAACCAAAAACCCATAATAAAATAAAACAAAAATAAAAAATGCTAATTCATTTCTTGGTTTTTAGGACTCGTTGCTGCAGCACTGCAGATTACTATGGAGTCGCAGGAAAATGACATCATGGCAACACTGATTGGTTGATGACACAATCACAAACCCTTCTCTATTGGCTATCCTGAGCTGTGACGTCAAAGACAGCAGCTGGAAAATCCATATTTGCATATTTCACCATGACATATTTCCATATTTCATCAATGAAATGTAACCAATGGTGTAGTTACAGCATCTACCAGCAGGAGCTAACTGAAACACGCTAAACATTAAAGGTTTAAAGGTGGGGTAAGCGATTTTTCAAAAACACTTTTAAAAACTGATTCGGGCCGAATAGCAAAACAAACTTGTAGCCAATCAGCAGTAAGGGGCGTGTCTACTCATGATGGGGAGGAGAGAGAGTTCAGTGCACAGGACGGACATTAGCCGAGTCGAGCGACAGAAAGATAGAGATGGCGGATAAAAAACAAAAGAGGAAAACGTCTGTGGAACAAAAGAAGGCTTAAGGCAAGACAAATGTCATCATTGGCTACCAGAAATCGCTTACCCCACCTTTAAGAGCCGCTGCTCTACACAACAAAGACAATACTGAACAGGTTATGCGTATCCTCACCACCAGCAATCTCACAATCAGTCATTTACATTACTGTTTCCATGACGACACATTGTCATTAGCGCAACTGTCTGTACAGCGATTGTCATTACCATAACAATCAGTGGCACGATCTCTGTAGCTACAGCAGCCCTAGTGACTGGATTCGCTGTCTGTCGAGTTGTCGCTGTCCTGATATCGCCCATCAGGTTCGCACGCCAAGTCCTTCACACATTCTCGCCTAGATCATTTGAAGTTGCCCATTAATTGGAGGCGCTACTCTTTTCTTTATCTATTTTTGTTTGGCTGTTGACCAACATGAGCGTGGTCCTCGATTGCCCGCGTTTCTAGGTCGACTAATTAAGACTCCAGAGAGCCGCTAATTGCTGTTGCGTGCCTCTCCGTGAAACGAGGGAAACTTCTCTCCTGTTGCTGCCCGGAAAAATTAGTGCGAGAGTGCGGTGAAATTAAAAGGCTTATGTAAGCTTGTGGTGAAACTATTAAATACTAAGCAACTCTCTTTTTTTTGTCTTGTGGGGAACTGCCACTTGATTTAATAGGGCTCATTAAAAGTGCATATCACATATAGAGCCTCTCCCAACTTGACACACACATATGCATGCACAACTTCAGAGCACCAGAACATAAGGGAACATGCAATAAGGAGTCTGGAAGGTGGATATGTCAGTGGATATTTGAGCACATATTCTATATGTTCATAGCAAATACTAAAGGTAAAGTGCATCACAAACTGCACCACAGAATCACAAAACAACTAAATACATACATTTTATTGAGGAAACCTGAAGGATGACTCAAGCAAAAGTCACCAGCACAACGTTAGACCATTGCTAGGTTTTTTTCTTTTTTTAAACCATGTTATGGTTACATCCACAATTTTGGCTAAAACATTTTTGGTCCCAGCCAACATGTCTAGGAATGACGAAGTTGACTAACTGGAAAATGCTTGGGCATCTAATTTCTGTCTTTATTTTGCACTGTGACATTCTGAGCAATGCATATAATATTAACAATGCCATCAGGTCAAATGAAATATATTCATTATTCAATATAGTAGCTTTCCAATACTATTCAAAATGGCAGTTGTGGAACTCGTTCTTGGAAACTGTTGTTTTGTTCCAAACTTACACAGTTTGAGGGGGAAAAAAAGCTGTAAATAAAACAAACATTACAAGAAAATACTCCAGTCCATCAATTACGTCTTGTGAAGCCAAAAGCTGTGTGTTTGTAAGAAACAAATCCATCATTAAGGCTTTTTACTGTAACTTCAAACCATCAGTTCTGATGGTTGATGATATCAAAATACATAATGATGATATAAAGGGAGCTTGACGACTTTATTCATATAGACGTTATTTAAGTTGCTCCCATTGTATGAACACAACAATTTGAGAATCTCATACAGAAGATATGGTTGACTATATCTGACTGTGTGAATGTAGCCCATGATATTCTGATCTCTAGATATGTCTTGGGCCTTTTCATTTAAAATCTATGGCTTTTGCTATGCTTTGCTTACCACTGATGAGTGTTTTCAAACAGATTTTTTGAATG